TGCTTTTTGTTTCTTTTTGTTGTCTGATTGCTGTAGCTAGGATTTCCAGTATTATGTTGAATAAAAGTGGTGAGAGTGGACATTCTTGTCTTGTTCCTGATCTCTCAGTTTTTCCCCACTGAAGATGATGTCAGCTATGGGTTTTTTTGTATATGGCCTTTATTATGTTGAGGTATGTCCCCTCTAAACCTACTTTGTTGAGGGTTTTTATTATGAATGGATGTTGTACTTTGTCAAATGCTTTTTCCAAATCTATTGAAAAGATAATATGGTTCTTATCATTTCTTTTATTAATGTCGTGCATCATGTTGATTGATTTGTGAATACTGAACCACTTTGCAAGCCAGGAATAAAATCCATTTGGTCATGGTGAATGATCTTTTTAATGTATTGTTGGATTTGGTTTGCTAGTATTTTATTGAGAATTTTTGCAACCATGTTCATCAGGGATTTTGGAATGTAGTTCTCTCTATATATATCTTTTTTTTTTTCTTGTAGGCTCCAAGCCTGGTCTGGAGCCCATCACGGGGCTTGAACTCATGACTCTGAGCTCAAGACCTGAGCTGAAATAAAGAGTCAGACGCTTAACCAACTGAGCCATGCAGGAGCCCCTGCAGTTCTCTTTTTGAGTGGAGTCTTTATCTGGTTTTGGTATCAGGGTAAACCTGGCTTCAGAGAATGAATTTGGAAGTTTTTCTTTGTTTTCTATTTTTTGAATAGTTTGAGAAGAATAAGTATTGACTTCTCTTTAAATGTTTGGTAGAATTCACCTGTGAAGCTGTCTGTCCCTGGACTTTCATTTGTTGGGAATTTTTTTTTTTTTATGTTCAAATCTATAAAACCTAGTTGTCACCTGTTATTTATGTAATAAAAGGCACTTATAGAGATTCAGTCTGTTTCAACTGCCTTTTAATTCTACTTATAGTCAAGAGAGTTAAATGGGAATATCATCAGCATAGTCTTTAATAAATTTAGAAAATGTTTTGGTTTTAGATCCCCAAAATATTTAAAGAGATATTCAGGTGTGGAATATCTGTCAACAACTTGAACAAAATGATATGGCAGTTTTATAAATTTGAAATAAATTTTACTTTTTCTGTTTTATTATGGTTCAATAATTTTAGAAAATATATAGTTTAGGATTTTCATCAAATTTTTGCTTAGTAGGGGCACCTGGGTGCTCAGTTGGTTAAGTGACTGCTCAGGTCATGGTCTCAGGGTCCTGGGATCGAGCCCCACATAGGGTTCCCTGCTCAGTTGGAAGCTGCCTCTTCCTCTCCTTCTGATGCTCCACCAGCTTGTGCTCTCATGCTCTCTCTCTGTCAAATAAATAAATAAAATCTTTAAAAAATTTTTTTGCATAGTAGAAATTCATTAATAAATGTTACATTAAGTAGGTGTATCTGTTACCATTTTTAGCATATTTTCAAGTTTTAGAGAAATTTTATTTTAGAACAGTTTACAGAATTATTGCAAAGATAATAAAGATAGTTCCCTTTTATCCCACACTAAGTTTTCTCTATTATTAACATCTTGTATTAGAATGGTATTTCTAAATTTAATTTAAAGTTAACTTTGATCATTTGGCCTGACAGATTTGTAGATTTTTCCACAGTAAAGTTAGTCTTTTTTTTCTCCATTTCCATACCGTTCTCTTTGGAAGAGAGCCAGTATGTACAACCCCACTTAAGTAATGCTCCACTTCCTTCAGGGTAGAGTATCTACATAAAGTACTTAGACATCTTTTCCACTGGACATTTGTTTATTCTCTTGCAGTTTTAAGTTTATTCAATTATTTATGTCAGTAAGGACTCAGGGAGATTATAGATTTATATTTTGGGTTATAATCAATACTACTTTATTTATTTCCTTCCTCAAATTTTTCCAGCTTTGGCATTTGAAAGATCTTTCAGTTAGATCCTGTATCTGTCTGATATATCTTCATCATTGTATGTGTTTATTTTTGCTGTTCTTTTGAGCACTTTTCCCTTTCTAACACTACAAGATGATGCAGGCTTATCTTTTGCATACCTGTTTAGTCCCAGAATAAGCTATTTCTCCAGAGACCTGGTTCCTTTCTCAGATAATGACATTAGAAGTCAAAATCTGGTTGCTAAGTGTACTTGTCACCATTGGGTATCAATTATTCTAGGCCTTCTCAGTTGACACAGCGAGGATTTAGATGTGTGTATCAACCTGCATATATAAACATATTTTAAAATATATTTATTTGTAACTAATTTATATTTACATTAAGCTAAATATGAGTCCATACTAATGTCTACACTCTAATTCATTACTCATAGATCATTTTAGTCTCTTCTTGTTCCTTATCTCTAACTACAAGAGTGAGAAATCCAATTCTTATCACCAACCATCCATTAACTTACTTGTTAAATTCCAGATATGTGTATAATAGTTTCAAAATTGTTAACTCATAACCCTGTGGAAATGAGCTTCATTAACTAGACTGTATGAATAATCCCTTGTGCCCATAGACTTACAAAATGCACTAATTTCCAAAATTTCTTATGTTAGCACAATATTTCCATACTGCCTTCATGTGAGATTGTTTCTGATATTTGTAATACATTTATTTTCTCATATCTTTACTCCATCCATTGTATGAATACACCATTGCTTATTTACCCATTTACTCATTGAAGGATATCTTGGTTGCTTTTAGTTTTGGTTGATTATGAGCAAAGCTTCAATAAACATTTGTGTGTCTGCTATTCTGTTGATATAAGGTTCCAAACCAGTTGGTAATTACTTAGAAATGTGATTGCTGAAATATGTGGTAAGACTATTTTTAACATTGTAGGAAACTGTCAAACTGTCTTTCACAATAGTTGTAGCATTGTGCATTCCTATCAGCAATGAATGAGAGTTCCTATTGCTTCACATCCTCTCCAGAAATGGCATTGTCAGGTTTTTGGTTTTGGTTTTGGTTTTTTGCCATTTTAATATGTATGTAGTGTCTTATCAGTGTTATTCTAATTATAATTTCTTAATAACAAATGATGTTGAGTATCTTTTCATTTGGAAGCTAAAAACAGAAGTAGCCTAGATTCTAACAAATTATTGTGGTTCATCCCAGATTAAGTTTATAAAGGGTTTCATTAATAGCACTTTAAATCTGATTGGATAGAAAATTTTGTTGTTGTTGTTTCAAATTTTTATTTATATTTGAGTTAGTTAACAGATAATGTGATATTGGTTTCAGGAGTAGGATTTAGTGATTCATCACTTATATATAACAGCCAGTACTTATCACAACAAGTGTCCTCCTTAATACCCATTACCCTTTTAGTCCATTCCCCACTGACCTCCCTTCCATCAACCCTCAGTCTGTTCTGAATAGTTAAGAGTCTCTTATGGTTTGCCCCCCTCTCTCCCCCCTTCCCCTATGTTCATAAATTCCAAATATAAGTGAAATCATATGGTATTGGTCTTTCTCTGACTGACTGATTTCACTTAGCATAGTACACTCTAGTCCATCCATTTCATTGCAAATGGCAAGATTTCATTCTTTTTGATGGCTGAGTAATATTCCATTGTATATATATACCACATCTCTTTTGTCCATTAATCAGTTGGTGGACATTTCAGTTCTTTACATAGTTTGGTTATTATTGATAATGCTGCTATAAACATCAGTGTGCATGTGTCTCTTCAAATCACCATTTTTTTTTTTAATCCTTTGGGTAAATACCTAGTAGTGCAATTGCTGGGTCATAGGGTAGTTCTATTTTTAACTTTTTTAGGAACCTCTATGTTGTTTTCCAAAGAGGCTGCACCAGTTTGCATTCCCAGCAACAGTGTAAGAGGATTCCCCTTTCTCCACATCTTTGCCAACTCTATTGTTTCTGTGTCATTAATTGTAGCCATTCTGACAGGTATGAGGTGATATTTCATTGTAGTTCCATTTGTATTTCCCTGATGAGTGATGTTGAGCATTTTCATATGTCTGTTAGCCATCTGTATGTCTTCTTTGGAAAAATGTCTCTTCATGTCTTTTGCCCATTTCTTAACTGGCTTATTTGTTTTGGGGGATCATAAAATATTTTACAGTCACATAAATGATAAAGCCATCTAAACTCATAGGAAAGCCATCATGTGTTCTGTAAAATCCTCCTTAGTATCTAATTAGAATTCACAGTGTTGCTAAATATTATGAATTTGGGAGCACACTCTCATTCTTTCCTGTTGTTTGCATTAGTCAAGAATATCTAATACTTAACCTCTAAGGATCATGAGAGTTCTAAGTATTAGGGTAAGGTATCTAAGAAAATGCACAAATGCACTCACAGATTGTATTAAGTAATTATAGGGGTGTTTTTTTTCTATTTTTTCCTGGTAACCTTGGAATCATAACACTATGAAGTTGCATAGGAAGTTTATCAAAGATGGTCTCAGAGGTTAGAAAGGCCAAAAATAGAAATGTTAATGAAATGACTGAAATTACAATGTAAAATGAATCTTAATTTTCAAGACTTTTAAATCCTATTGTCAAATTATACAACTTTCTTAGTAATAAAAATGTAATTTTTTTGGAATTATAGATTGATAGAGGATAATTTTGCCAACCCATTTTGAACTACAGCTATGCACAGTGGCAGTATCATAGCCAATGAGGTTTATCTGAGGTTCAATTATTGCTAATTGAACTACATTACATAAAACCATATTATATTAAATGGTACTATTTTAAGTGAGTTGGACTGTTTGTTAATTGTTATTTGGGTGACTCTGGAAAACTAAAAATTAATGAGCTTAATAAAAATTTGATTATGTATCCTTGCTATAAAGAGTTACAAGTTTTCTTTTTAAGAAATGTTTAAAAACCATGAACAAAATGAAAAGGCAACCATATAATTGAAGAAAATATTTGCAAACCATATATATAATAAGTGGTTAACAACCAAAATATGTAAATAACTCACACAACTCAATAGAAAAAAAAGCAAAAATGACCTAATTAAAAAATGGGTAGAGGTGTACTCACTTCAGTAGTATCTATATTAAAGTTGAAATGATACAGAGAAGATTAGCATGGCCCTTGTGCAAGGATGACATGCAAATACATGAAGCATTCCATATTTTAAAAAGAAAAAAATTGGGCACAGAACCTTAATAGACATTTTTCCAAAGAAGATATATAAATAACCAACAGGTACATGCAAAGGTGCTCAACATTGCTAATCATCAGGGAAGTGCAATTCAAAACCACAATGAGATATAACCTACTGCCTGTTAGAATGGCTTATAATATAAAAAAGACAAGACCATAATAAATATTGCCAAGACTGTGGAGAAAAGGGGATCCTTGTGCACTGTTGATGGGAATGTAAATTTGTGCGGGTATTATGGAAAATATTACAGAGGTTCCTCAAAAATTTTAAAATAAGACTACCATATGATTCAACAATTTCACTTTAGAATATTTATATGAGGGAAACAAAATCACTATCTTGAAAAGATATTGTCACCCGCATGTTTATTGCAGCATTATTTACAATAGCCAAAACATAGAAACAACTTGAGTGTCCAACAGTGGATGAATGGATAAGGAAAATGTGATATATAAAAGATTATAGATAATATATCAATTGATATAATTTTATATAATGTATATAAATATATATAGTTAATATAGTATATAATGTATACATACATAATATATATACACATGTTTATACAAGTATATGTATATATAATGTATACAATTTATATATTATATATGTAACATATATAATGTATATAATTTATATAATGAAATATCATTCAGCCATAAAAATGAAGGAAACCCTGCCATTTGCAACAACACGGGTGTGCTTTGAGAACATTATACTATGTGAAATAAGTCAGGCAGAGAAAGACAAATACTGTGTGATCTAACTTATATGTAGAACCTAGAACAATGAATTCATAGGTACAGAGTACAGATTGGTGGTTGCCAGAGGAAGAGGGTAGGAGGTAAGTGATATGGGTGAAGGGAATTAAGAGTTACAAACTTCCAGTTGTAAAATAAATAAGTCATGGGGAGGTAATGTTCAGTGGCAAGAGATATGGAAGGAAGGCATCCAGAGTAGATGAGCCAGTACCAGCCAAGACATGTGGGGTTCAGGGAGAGAGAAGAGGTCACATTGGGAGGGTAGATTGTAGAGTTGTCAATAAGGCTGAAGATAAAATGTAGGAATAGACATAAGGAACTCACATTCTTACCTAAGGGAGCTAGACTTTTTCAAAAGGCCAGATAGAAAAGGTGGTGGTTTTCTTATAACCAGTCAGCTCCTTTTTAAATGTGAGAAAGATCTGAACAAAAGCAATGAGAATAACCATTCAGTCCTTTCCTCACTTACAACACATAATTTTTGAGAGGGAAAAATTGATCCCACATATGTGATACAATGGACCAGGGGTACAAATTCTAGCTATGACTACTTAAAGAAAAGAAAAGAAGCAATGTTTGCTACTATCTTTGTAGTCATGTTTTTTTTTTTTATTTTAATTTATTTGACAGAGAGGGAGAGACAGCGAGAGAGGGAACATAAGCAGGGGGAGCAGGAGAGGGAGAAGCAGGCTCCCCGCTGAGCAGGGAGCCCGATGTGGGGCTCAATCCCAGGACCCTGAGATCAGGACCCGAGCCGAAGGCAGATGCCCAACCAACTGAGCCACCCAGGTGCCCCTGTAGTCATGTTTTAATATAAATACATGGACAAGGATTATAATATAATACATAAAAGTAAAAATAGATATATCTTTTGTTATGATTTATTTCCCTATAATTTTACCTAAAGATATCATATCTAAAAGATGGTCAATTTTTACTGACATATAGAAATTAAGAATAAGAAAAAACAACACTAAAAGAGACATTACAATAACTTGAAGTGTTTTTTACAGCTGCCAATATCATACCATTTCTTCACAAAATTCCTTTTATTTATGTGCTAGGCAATAATAATCTCAGGAACAATTAGGGAAGTATGTTTCTTTGAGCTGGATAATTAAATGCCAAGAAAACTCACTACTCAATATGTAATTCACTCAAAATCTTGTTGTTTGAAGGAGTCAATGTTCATACATAGGATGGATTGAATTCCTAACAATATCTGGCATGAGCAGTGGACTTGGCCCTCACTATAATAACATTACATTCATGGTTGGAATGACAGCTAAATGGATGGATGGAGTTTGTCTCTAACAGGCAGATTCATGACTACAGCATAATGAATGAGAGTGTAATAACCTCTGGTCACATACACCCTGGCCTGTTGCTCCTTACAAGCTATATCAGGGGATATAGAGTAAATTCCTATTGTCAGATCTAATGGTGAAAGATTCTGGCTTCTAACTTACTGGGAGAACAAAGTAGAATTTCCATTCCAATAATTTGGATCAAAACCCTTCTGATCACCCTGGTCAATTTGTTGTGTCACTTAATTAAACCCAAAACATTGCAAATTGTGTAAGTGAACAAAAGAAAGACTTTCTTCAACCTTGAAAACCAGTTCTTAAGACAAATATCTTATTAAATTAGTTAAGTTCTAGGACATGCATTACAGGAGGTTTTCTCTAGGACTTTTTCATGGGTTAAATATGGATTAAAATAAATGGCAAACAGAGTCACAATTAAGAGTTAAAAGAGAAAATGAAATGCAAGAGCAAATTCATACAAAATGATAAAAAGCAGAATTCCCACCACAGATTCTCTCTCTTTCTCTCTCTCTATTATATACACACACACATACACACATCCAATATCTGGGAAAGGGATTAGCAAAATAGCTGTATTATTTTAATTTTTCCCTAAACTTGAGAAGTTAGATATATAAGTTTTCTGAGTTGAAGGTCTTTGGGTATTGACAGGAAATACTATTGATTGATTTTTTTAGTTTGAAAATGTGGGTCTTTTTCCAGTAATCTCTTTCCTTTACTCCAATAAATACAATCTTTAGCAAAGCCTAGAATGAATAAAAAGAGAACTACAATGATGTGGCATTTGTTGATGGCGACTCATCAAACTTACGTGTATCTAAAATTAATACTTGAAAAAAATTAAATTAAATTAATACTTGTTCACAATAATGAAATGCCCTTGTCACTCACACACTGTTATGATTTAGGCTACCCTATGTTTCAAACTTCCATAGGGAGAATTATAACTGAGCTCATATTTGCAAATATTTGCAGGTGTCTGCTGTTAATCTGCACTGAATGAATAGTTCTACACTACCCTGAAATTTTCATTCTCTCAGTTTTGAAAACATGATGATCTGCCTGAAGAGAGTAGATGTTGCCTGATAAAATGTATTTATTAAGGAAATGTGCATAAACTCTATGGGGAGGTAGCACACTTTTAAGGAGACTAACAGATTAGGATACATGGCTCTGCAGCAGAACACAGTGTGCACTCTGTATTTAAAGCACTGAAACCATATTTTGGGCATTTTTTTTAGATTAATATGCAAGAGCTTCACTGTTTGGAATCATTCAGGAAACATTATACAAATCGTTGGCAGTTGAAAAATGAACATGAGAATTTTAGCATCCTGCAAGTTGCTCTATAACACATGCTATGGAAAAAAGCTACAGTTAAACACAAAAGAGGGAAGGGGGCAACTTCTACTGATTCTGTTCCAATAAGTTAAAATTACTAAACATGTAGATTCAGTAAAGTGTGTATGAAAAGTAATGGCTACATAGGTATAGAAACAGAAAAATTATACCTGTATTTTTGCTTCAATTAGTAAACTTAGAGCATCTTAAAACATTTTAAGGCATTTATACCTGATTACATTTGGGGGAGATTTTACAACTAATGGTATAGAAGGAATTACACACATTGTTTATTAATATCTTCTGCAAAGATTTATTCACTAGGAATCAATTTTTATTTTTATTATTTTTTTAATTTTTAAAATTTTATTATGTTATGTTAGTCACCATACAACACATCATTAGTTTTTGATGTGGTGATCCACGATCCATTGTTTTCGTATAATACCCAGTGCTCCATGCAGTGCATGCCCTATTAATACCCATCACCAGGTTAACCCCTCCTCCCATCCCCCTCCCCTCTAAAACCCTGTTTGTTTCTCAGAGTCCATAGTCTCTCATGGTTCATCTCTCCCTCCGATTTCCCCCCTTCATTTTTCCTTTCCTTCTCCTAATGTTCTCCATACTATTCCTATGTTCCACAAATAAGGGAAACCATATGATAATTGACTTTCTCTACTTGTCTTATTTCACTTAGCATAATCTCCTCCAGTCCCATCCATGTTGATGTAAGAGTTGGGTATTCATCCTTTCTGATGGCTGAGTAATATTCCCATTGCTGCTATGAACATTGGGGTGCATATGGCCCTTCTTTTCACTACATCTGTGTCTTTGGGGTAAATACCCAGGAGTGCAATTGCTGGGTCAT